CCACCTTAAAACGTGCTGGCTGGGGAATCTTGGGAGCTGAAGTCCACCCATCTTAAAGTTGCTAAGTTTGAAAAACACTGTTCTAGGTAAAGTATAAAATAATCTCTATTTTAACCTTGGCAGCCTTTCTGAAGTTTCTTAGGTTGCAACTGCGCATGAGTTAATGATAATGTTTGGAAGCTGCTCTGGCAGAAAGGAATGCCACCCAAAGAAGCTCTGCCGTTGCCCCCTTGTCTCTGCCTTGAGGGGACAAACCAGGACCTGCCCTCTCTTATCCCAACCTCTCCTGCTTTGCTTGGCTCCCAGCCTTCTTCCTTTTCTCCGGAGAAGCTACGAAGAAGGATGAGGGGGACACAGAGGAAGGAGAGGCAAAGGCAGACGCAGAGGACGCCATCATTCTTCTGCTGAAAAAAGCCAAGGTGAGCAGAGACACGCTGGCGTGGGAGTTGGCACGCTGGAGCGCCCTCTTTGCAAGCGAGGCCTCTCGGGGAGAACAAAAACAGCTGTTGCCCCCAGCATCGGGCAGTTTTCCCTCTTGGAGAGATCAGGTGTTGAGGGTGGCCTTCCGCACCGTCACTGGCCCCAGTGGTATCTGCACGGTACCGTCAAAAATGTCAAGATGATGTGGCCGCTCTCTTGATCGTTATGGCCATGCACGGCAGACCCCCCTGCTTGGTCCCTTCAGCTGGAGAAGCCAGGGTTTGAATCTTCAGCTGGCTTCCTACATTCCAGGAAGACCTTCCAGTGAGTTATGGGGCTCTCCCAGATTTTGGCTTCCCCCCCTGTGAAGGTGGCTGGATCTGCTGCCCATCTTTTTTTACCCATCTGCTGCCCACCGCGCAAATGACACACTGGGAGTGCATGACATGAACAATCTGGGCTTCTCCTTGCTGACTCGGCATTCAGGAGTCTGCGAGAATACGCACACTTCAGCAGCTGAGGACGTTGCACTGTTCAGAGTCGGTAGCACCTGGAGCAGCGCATAAGCCCAGTGAAAAAAGTAATGAAGATGCTCCTGTGGACCCTAGAGTGGTACTGTGGATGTTCTCTGCCTTCAGCAGATGGGCTGGGGATTTACTGTACTTCTTCCTTCTTGTTTACTCCCATTTAAAAGCTGACAGAACCAGAACCAGATCATGGAGGACTCTGATTTTGAAGGATGCGCTGGATCCCGCAGATGCCTCTGTCTTGATCCAGTGCATCCTTCAAAACAAGGAAAGCAAGTTACACCACTGGGATGCAAGATCCGTGCCTTGCGTGCGTGCCTGCAGTGCGACATCCTGACACCGCTACAAAAGGGGCAGGGATGCAACATTGCTTTCATCATGGGATTCTCCCGAGGATGCCTCTGTTTTGAGGGCTGTTTGCCTCTGGCATCAAAGGCTGCGTGCTGGGAAGCCACAGTGCAGGAGGACAAGCATGTCCTGTCCAGGCTTGGTCTGGAGACCTGGGGTGAGATCTGGTGAGCTGGGCTAGATGGGGCCATGGCCTGATGCAGCCCAGCCTCTTCTTATACAAGTAGTCCTCACTTAACAACTGCTCACTTTAGTGACCGTGCAAAGTTACAATGACACTGAAAAAGTAACTTTACAACCGGTCCTCACACTTACGACTGTTGCAGAGGCCCTGTGGTCACGTGGTCGCCATTTGAGCACTTCATAGCCGGTTTCTGACAAGCAGGGTCAATGGAGAAGCCAGCGGTGAAATTTGCAAGTTGCGGCCACATGATGTTTCACTTAACGACTGTGTCGCTTAGTGACAGAGTTGCTGATCCCAATTGTGACTGTTAAGTGAGGACTACCTGTACAATAGTCTAATGCAGTGTTTCTCAACCTCCTCAACTTTAAGCTGGCTGAGGAATTCTGGGAGTTGACGTCCACCCGTCTTAAAGTTGAGGAGGTTGAGAAACCCTGGCCTAATGTAAGAAGCTGCATCAGGATAATCAGATGAGGGGCTCTGTAGGGCAGCCTTTCCCCCATTTGCAAACTGATCCTTGATGAGGCTGGGATTGAAGCAGGAGCTCTGTTTCTCTTCCCAGCGGCATCCTTAAATCCCTGGGCTTGGTTTGGCCACCTCCTTTCCCCTGCTAAACAGCATTTAGCAGTATACTCCCCTGTTAAATATGGGTACAGTCATGTTTTAAAATTTCCTGGAGTTACCAGGCTGCCTTTGCTAATTTAATCAGCCCTCCCTCCCTCTTTTCCTTCCTTCCTTCCTTCCTTCCTTCCTTCCTTCCTTCCTTCCTCCCTTCCTTCCTTCCTTCCTTCCTTCCTCCCTTCCTTCCTTCCTTCCTTCCTTCCTCCCTTCCTTCCTTCCTTCCTTCCTTCCTCCCTTCCTTCCTTCCTTCCTTCCTTCCTCCCTTCCTTCCTTCCTTCCTTCCTTCCTCCCTTCCTTCCTTCCTTCCTTCCTTCCTCCCTTCCTTCCTTCCTTCCTTCCTTCCTCCCTTCCTTCCTTCCTTCCTTCCTTCCTCCCTTCCTTCCTTCCTTCCTTCCTTCCTTCCTTCCTTCCTTCCTTCCTTCTCTCCCCCCACAAGCTCAACATCATGAAAGGAGAATTGGAAGAAGCGGAGCGCATCCTGCATGAGGCTGCCTGGCTCTCTCAGCAATCGGACAACAAAGCGGCCATTATTTACACGTACGATATGGTTAGTCCAGCAGTTCTCTTGAACCCTGCAGATCCTCCCTAGGATGTTTCCTTAAGCAGCTCTTCTCCCCTTGTGGTTCTTCTCTGGGGTTCCTCCAGAACAGGTCTTTGTGGAGTCCAAATGCCTCTAGAAGCCTCCCTTTGCCCGTCGCTCAGAATGTGTTGAGGAGATTCTCCTGCTCTGAGTGAGTTGCACTTCTGTTCGATGGTCCAGATTTTAGTGTGTCTTTGGCAGTGTTCTGGCTAGGACTTCAGCTGGCTTGGGGTGAAGAAATGGTAACCCGTTGGATCCGATCTGCTCCCCCCGGTAGCCCGTCCGTCCCTCTCCGCCTGGGCTGCAAATAATGCATCCGAAGGCAACCGCCGGCGTTTTCGGTGAATTCATTTGCAAGAGATGCACTCGCGGGTCGGAGCCGGCCACAGCCCTCCCCACCAGCGATGCTGGAGCTGTGGTTGGCGAAGGGTCAGGGAAGGCCCTCTAAGTGGAAATGGCACCTCTTACTTTGCGAGCGGGGATGTGTTACATTTGTGTTAAAGGAGTGCTTGTTAGCTGCTGTTTCTGCCGTGAATTTAACCAGTCGATCTTGGCAGCTGTAAATCTCAGTCACTTTATTTTCCTTTCCATTGTCCCCAGACAAAAGAGTCTTTTCTCTCCCACCGCCTTGGTTCCCCCTTTGAGGACTCAGCATCGGTCGTTAAAATGATAACCTCTCCTGCAGTTGGGGGGGAAGCAGCCCATCACAGAGACGTGGAGGGCAGGAATTAGCACTGACTCCAGAACCGAGCAGCCTTTTTGCTTTTGTTTTAAAACAAAAAGCATGTTTCTCGTCCTTATTGTTGCTTATGGAGAGCCACGCTGGGTTAGACTGCACAGTGGCCCAGCAGATGACCTCAGGAAGCCCACAGGCGGGAAAGGAATACCGTGGCAGCCTCCAGCTTGCAGGCCCCGCAGCTGGCGCTTGAGGCTTTCAGCGCTGGAAGAAAATAAAAGCCACGAGTAGCTACCGATGGCTTTCTGCTACAGAGCGGCAAGGGGGAGTCAGTGAAACGACCCTTTTCCTTGGTCTGTTGCAGATGGCGAACTTGGCCTTCATGAGAGGGCAGCTGGAGCACGTGAGTAAACGTTGGGAGACTGACAGTGCACGGAAGGGGGACTCGGGGAAGTCCCCCTTCCAGAACCTCTTGCGGGGATCTCCAAGCACGTTGGCTCTAAGCACCCTTTTTTTTGCCTTCCCGTTGCAGGCTGAAAAGCTTTTCAAAGCAACCATGAGCTACCTGCTTGCCGGGGACGTAAAGCAAGTAAGTGCCCTTCGTTGCTAGGAGCGTCTCCCAGGACTGTCGCATCGTTTTGGATCTCCTCCGTCTAGAAGGGGGGACGGTGCTGTTACCTGATGCTCGGAGGCAGCAGAAGATCCAGTGGTTCCCTGGGAGGGAGGAGCAGGGAGGCAGCCTAAACTCCCCCTGGCCTTTCAGGCCGTCTCCATTGCGAATGGAGGTGGCGTAGCTCTTCCCTCTCCGCAGCCTTGCGAGGTGGGGCTGGAGGTCATTGGAGGAACGACCCTGCGGGGACTTGGAGTCTGCGATTCAGTGCTAGGCGACTCCAGTTCAGACCGACAAATATTCCAGGGTGTGGGGGGGTGACTGTGTGACTTCTGGGGTTGAACAGACAGCCACCCCCCCAGAAGGAGGGGCAAAATCACGGTCAGGGCAACGTCACTCGGAGACTCCCGGCTGAAATATCGGGTCCTTCTGGAGTTGGGAGAATGTTAAGCGGGGGAAGAGAAGGAGTTGGTTTCAGCGAGGGATCAGTTCAGCTACTGAAGGCAGCTTTTTCGGGGCTTCGGAAAGAAACCCCAAGGTGGGGAATGGTGTTTTCTAAGGGTTTTTTAAAATTGTTGGCTTGTTTTGCAGTGGGTGGGGGACATCAAGCACGCTTAGCTAGCTTATGCTGTACAGCCCCCCCCCCCCCCC